ACACAGTATAACCATTAACTTAGATGGATGTTGAACTTTAAATGAATTCATTAAATCATCATTTATCAAGTATAAATCATGGAATGTCGAGTGGTGGAGTGAACTTCTACATAAATACGCCATAATCTCCTGTAAGTAATCAGTGTGAAGGTATCGAACTCTACGGTAAGAAATAAGAAATACGACATATTATTATCTTTATATAATATAATCCACTCCTACTACCACCGATACACCCAAAACCATGACAACGTTCACTGAGAAATATATGTATTGAAGCACCGACGACTTTGAATGTTCTTGTATGAGTAACGGGTATATACTAATGTGCCTGCTTTACTGCTTGTAAATGCAATTAATAGAAATACACTGTAATTCAAACTCGCAAAGACGAGGTAGTTGTGACCCAACACCACGGCCAATTTTGCCTTAAGCTTCAATTGCAATATGGCAATTTACCTGTGATAGGTCCTGCAAAATCTTCCGCCTCGCTCAGCAACACGGAAGTTAATCGAGAAGCTACAGTACACGAGCAACATGGAGAAAATTCTACTGTATTACGCTGACAAAATCAAACCCATGTAAATTTATTCAATGTTCCGAGACACGCAAATGCACGTTGAACCACTGATGATAACCATTTGTCTACATACAAACAAAATATTTATCTGAACATACGCCAAAAAAAGTTTCATGTAATGGAAACAAAAAGACGTAAATAGAAAAGATAAAAGAAATCCTTTGAAATTCAGTTCTGCCCTGATGTTACTCGTCTCAGTCAATTCTGTTATCCTGACCTGAACACTAGTGGAGGGAGCACAGCGCAGGTCTTGTTGTGTAGAGTCGCAGGTGATTCCCACACAGTTGGATATAAAAAATGCTTCACAGGGAAATAACGTGCACACTCAAAAGAACTGGCACATCTACAATTCAGATGACACGGAGAGCCACCTCGTCAAAACTTTATTGTACACGTATACAAAGCTTCCGCACACACACACACACAAGCGCCAATCATCAATAAATTATGTATACTTTATGTCGTTTGAACAAAATCTATTTGAAGGACAATGTTTTTACACCTGCATTGCGCATGAATATTTGTTTATGTAGAGTTACTTAAAAAACAAAAAAACATAACAATGTATATGTCCCCTTCGCGACCCAACCCAGGACCCAGATTTTACTCAGGAGCCGAGAATAGGATCTTCTTTAAGCCAGCACAACAATAATCACAGCATCTAGTATATCGCCCCAGTCAACTCCCCGTCACACAGCATCCACTATATCGCCCCAGTCAACTCCCCGTCACACAGCATCCACTATATCGCCCCAGTCAACTCCCCGTCACACAGCATCCACTATATCACCCCAGTCAACTCCCCGTCACACAGCATCCACTATATCGCCCCAGTCAACTCCCCGTCACAGCATCACTATATCGCATCAACTCCCGTCACAGCATCCACTATATCGCTCAGTCAACTCCCGTCACAGCATCCACTATATCTCAGCTCCCCGTCACACAGCATCCACTATATCGCTCCAGTCAACTCCCCGTCACACAGCACTCCACTATATCGCCCCAGTCAACTCCCGTCACACAGCATCCACTATATCGCTCCAGTCAACTCCCGTCACAGCATCCACTATATCGCCCAGTCAACTCCCGTCACAGCATCCACGCTCCCCAGTCACCCTGTCACACAGCATCACTATATCGCCCAGTCCTCCGTCACACAGCATCCTATATCGCTCCAGTCAACTCCCGTCACAGCATCCACTATATCGCCCCAACTCCGCTCCAGCACAGCATCCACTATATCCCCAGTCAACTCCCCGTCACAGCATCCACAGTCATCCACAGCATCCACTATATCGCCCCAGTCAACTCCCCGTCACACAGCATCCACTATATCGCCCCAGTCAACTCCCGTCACGCGCATCCACAATATCGCTCCAGTCAGTCCCCGTCACACAGCATCCACTATATTGCCCCAGTCAACTCCCCGTCACACAGCATCACTATATCGCTCCAGTCAACTCCCCGTCACACAGCATCCTATATTGCCCCAGTCAACTCCCGTCACACAGCATCACTATATCGCCCCAGTCAACTCCCGTCACAGCATCCATATCATCCATCAACTCCCCGTCACACAGCATCACACTATATCGCCCCTCAACTCCCCGTCACACAGCATCCACTATATCGAGTCAACTCCGTCACACAGCATCCTATATCGCCCCAGTCAACTCCCCACACAGCATCCACTATATCGCCCCAGTCAACTCTCACACAGCATCCACTATCAACATCGCATCAACTCCCGTCCATCCACTATATCGCCCCAGTCAACTCCCGTCACACAGCATCTACTATATCGCCCCAGTCAACTCCCCGTCACGCATCCACTATATCGCCCCAGTCAACTCCCGTCACACAGCATCCACTATATCGCCCCAGTCAACTCCCGTCACAGCAGCATCCCGTCACACAGCATCTACTATGCCCCAGTCAACTCCCCGTCACACAGCATCACTATATCGTCAACTCCCCGTCACAGCATCTATATATCGTCAACTCCCCGTCACACAGCATCCACTATATCGCCCAAGTCAACTCCCCGTCACACAGCATCCACTATATCACCCCAGTCAACTCCCCGTCACACAGCATCCACTATATCGCCCCAGTCAACTCCCGTCACAGCAATAATCACACAGCAATAATCACAGTTTCCAGTGTATCACTATGGCCACACAGCAATAATCACAGCACCTGCCCCTGGATCATGAAATTCAATTTGCATAATTATAACCATTAAGGACATTAAATGACGCGTCGGGTCCATTATGTAAGGTGACAAGGCCATTCATTAACCTCGCCACCTGCTACATGGCTCTATCACCCTCGATAAAAGTGAAATGAACTTTAAGTCTACGTCTACCCGAGGCATCAAAAGTGAAAAGTATTAGGTGAAATATATCTCCCAATATACCCTTAAAAGTGAGACGTATAAAAAGAAATGTATCCTCCCATTGTCATTAAACGTGAAAAAAACCAAGTAAAAAAATCTCTCTCTCTCTCTCTCTCTCTCTCTCTCTCATAGCTAGCAACTCTCGCGTCTCTCTTCCCTCTCCCTAGCCCGTTTTTTTCTATCCTTCCTATCCATCCTCTATCCTTCCGCTCAATCCCTTGGCCCCTTCCTCTATCCTTCCCCTCTCTCTCCTCTCCATTCCCCTGTCTTCCTCTACCCTTCCTCTTTATCCCACATCCCTCCTCTTCACCTCCTAGCCCCTTTCCTTATCCTCTTCTACGTCCCCTAGTCCCTTCCCCTATTCTTTTCTTCACCCCCTAGCCTCTTCCCTTATCCCTCCTCTTCATCCCCTGGCCCCTTGCCCTATCCTCCTCCCCATCTCCTACCCCCCCGACCTCACCCCAGGGCACACCTGGGCACGCCAACTTTGGGAAAACTTGGGTCGACTCGACAGCAGAGAGACGTGAGATGAACCATGATTTTAATGCCAGATAGAGCACGCCTGTAGGAGCCCCCAGCTGGCCCAATCCAGCAAGAGTCAGGCCTAAGCCATCAGGGCTTAACAAACGGGAGTCGGGGTTTAATCAACAGGACTATACAAGCAGGGCTAAACCGAGAGGAGCCAGGGCTATACTAACAAGGCTAAACCAACAGGAACCAGGGCTAAATTAACAGACGCCAGGGTTAAACTAACAGGGCTACAACAGTAGGAGCCAGCAGAAGCCAGGGCTACACCAACACGAATCAGGGTTAAATCAACAGGAGCCAGGGCTAAACCAATAGAGGTATTCGAGCAAGGCTACACCAGCAGGAGCCAGGGCTAAACTACCATAAGCCAAGGCTACACCAACAGGAACCAGGGCTACACCAGCAGGAGCCAGGGTCTACACCAGCAGGAGCCAGGGCTAAACTACCATAAGCCAAGGCTACACCAACAGGAACCAGGGCTACACCAGCAGGAGCCAGGGTCTACACCAGCAGGAACCAGGGCTACACCACACGTAGCTGGTGGTAGTGAGGGTGCTGGTGCTACTAGTGTCTATTAAATCGACCTAAAGTGCAGCAAACAATCACGCGCCGGATTCTCAAAGGCTCGTACAAGGAAAAGACGCAGTAATTCAAGACGCAAGAATGTACTTAACCTATTGATTTTTAGCAAAAACAGAAAAATAACATCTGGGAATAACGTCAAAAGCCTACCCCAACTAGATAGCATTCCATTACGGCCAGAAGAAATTTAGATACAAAATCTTTCCGAGGCTTCTGCAACTTGATTACACACATCCCTTAACAGAAGGTAAAAATACTTATCTAGTTAAGGTTGAGTGTTAGTGCAAATTTAATGCCATTTTCATTGTTGTTTTTATGTTTTAACTCAAATTAACCCGTTAGGAGTATTCTTCTATCTTCACTTAGGGGGATTATTTACCGTACGAGCTTTTGAGAATCGAGACACCAGCGTGACGAGGGCTCTCTGCTGCTGGATACCTCTCATGCATATGTAAATTAGTCTTTACAACTAAACAGCCTGCATACATGTTGATCAAGTTGAAAGACACGGTGTATCTCTTTTCCTCTCTGTTATCTTGTCATCATTAAATTTACTGCTTACTTTTATCCTTTATTTTATATCTATCGTTAAAAAATCACTCCATGTACCTATCGTTAAAAATCACTCCATTGCAATATATCCATTCTCAGTATGTAGAATTATCGCTAAATATTTTATAGCCATCACTACAATTAGGCCAGACATATTTTTTTTCAGAATTCACCATTAATATAAATGGATATGTATAATTTATCTACTGCATTTATATTTCTGACTGTAATTTAGTTCCATGAGTTAATTAATTGTTCTTATTTTCTACTTTTCATTAATTCCGTCGTATACTTCTTCTCTTCTTCTATTTGTCACAATGTAACTAAACAAACACACAAAGACTCCAGAGTATTTACCTTGTCTCTGTTCTTCCTCTTGGTTGATGCTCGCTTCTTAGGACTCTTCCTGAGGGAGGACTTGAAGGATCCACGTCGAGGCAGCTTCACGATCCAGGAGGGCGGCACTATGATGCTCGTGTGGATCCCTGGAGGAGGTAAACGTGGGTTAGTTTACGGCTCAAGGAATAATAGATTAGTTTCCCCTCCACACTGTTTAATGCAAATTCGTTTTCTATGAGTAAGTCTCCCCCCTCCAAAAGTATTAAGCAAATTCTTCTTCTACAAGCACTAGACAAGTTCTCCCTACAGGATAGTTAAGCAAGTTTTCCTTGTTAAATTACCAGTCAAATTCTTATAAAAGCATTAAGCAAGTGTTTAAAAAATAAAAATAAATAAAAATAAAAAATTAAATAAAAAATAATTTCTCCCTCAAAATTATCAAGTTAATCCATTTTTTTTAAATTATCTTATTACTCAAAAGATCTCAAATTAACTTAATCCTCTAAAAAATATTCAGAGTAAAATTAGAAAAGATTGTTTTATATACACAGTGGACTGGACTTAGTGACGTCTTTACTTATAGGATCCCATCAAAATTTGTCTTAATTAATATTTATCATCTAGACCACGCGAGTAGCTCATTGTGGTATAGCACTTTATCGACCAAGAGACACTACATATAACTCATAAGAGGCAAAATTATAGAGAGGAGTTCTAGTTCTGGGTTTACATATTGGAACGTTTTGTTTACATGAGAGAGAGTCTTTATAAGAGGAGAATTTTAATATTTTCTGATTTCTAACTTACATACAATTTATTTTTGCCTGTATTTTTACCTTTCATCTGTATCTGTACCTGTATTAGTTTCCGTTAGCATGAAGGTTGTTTCCCTGTACTTGTACCTGTAATTACTTGCACCTGTATCTTATAGTTAAACTTGCATCCATTGCTTTTAAATCTGTACTTGTAGCTGTACTTTAAGCGTCACCTGTCCCTGTACCTGAATATTTAGCTTTACCTGTACCTTTAGCTTTACCTGTACATTTAGCTTTACCTGTACCTTTAGCTTTACCTGTACCTTTAGCTTTACCTGTACCTTTAGCTTTACCTGTACCTTTAGCTTTACCTGTACCTTTAGCTTTACCTGTACCTTTAGCTTTACCTGTACCTTTAGCTTTACCTGCACATTCAACTGTAACCTATACCTATACCTGTATAACAGCTTCTACAGCATGAGTTAGAACAGGCCAAGGAGGAGATAAACACACACACACACACACACACACACACACACACACACACACACACACACACACACACACACACACACACACACACACACACACACACACACACACACACACACACGCACACACAATAGGCCAATAAGCAAAAAGCGCTCAACACCTTTTTTTTTAATTAAATACCAATGATATCCAGTTCTGCACAGGAGAGTTCGTGAAAAGATAAAACAAAGAAAATAATATATATTTTTTTTCACGTGTGTGAGAGAGAGAGAGAGAGAGAGAGAGAGAGAGAGAGAGAGAGAGAGAGAGAGAGAGAGAGAACGGACAATCTCCCCCTCTGCAATCTGTGGCTGCCACCCTGAGCATCAGAACAAGGGATGAAATCAGGATGGACTCGCTTATAGGATGGAGACGAGAAGGATGAATACCGGGAACATGCGAAGGAAAAAGAGGATGGAGGACGTCGTTGGAGGATGAGGGAAGGGTTAGGAGGAGAACTAAAAGGAGGGAGGAGGTTTCTGGAGAATGGGAGGCGGGAGATCTTGAGAGGTTGGAGGTCACCGAAAGATGAGAGGGCGATCTTGGAGGACTTTGGAGAATAGGGCGAATATACAGTAGAGGAGGTGGTGGTTAAGTAAAAAAAAAATTGTGTCATGATATATACAGAATGTAACATGGTATAATAATTCCAGATCTATATTAATAACGAAACAATAATAATAACACCAATAATAACAATTGTGATAACAGTAATAACAATAATAATAATCAACAAGTATCAAACATACCCCAAGAAACGTCAAGATGATGATGATGATGATGATGATGATGATGATGATGATGATGATGATGATGATGACCAGTACTTAGGAATAATACAGTTCTTTCATGACCAACTGTTATCAACATTATCTAAGAGCCTGTCAAGGAGTTTTTTGGTGTGTGTGTGTGTGTGTGTGTGTGTGTGTGTGTGTGTGTGTGTGTGTGTGTGTGTGTGTGTGTGTCGATGTGTGTGTATGTGTGTGTGTGTATGTGTCGAGGTGTGTGTGTGTGTCGTTGGCCAGGAGCGTCACCTTTAACACAGGCCAAGTGGCACCCCAGGTATGACGTAGCTAAGGTAGGGAGATAATTATACACGCCATCTACCCCTTAATTCCCACTTACTCCCTTACCCCTTAACTCCCACTTACCCCCTTACCCCTTAATTCCCACTTACCCCCTTACCCCTTAATTCCCACTTACCCCCTTACCCCTTAATTCCCACTTAAACCCTTACCCCTTAATTCCCCTTAAACCCTTACCTACTCCTCTTACCCCTTAACTCCCACCTAGCATCCCTTACCCCTTTACTCACATACAAGGCTTTTGGGTGGCGAAAATTTAATACTGAGAGAGAGAGAGAGAGAGAGAGAGAGAGAGAGAGAGAGAGTTAAATCGTCATACAAATTTCATATTGATAAAGAGTGTGTACTGTACTATATAGACAAATAAGACAATGCAGGTTCACATAACTGTACTTCCGGTTGGATCCCTGATGGCCAGATATAATGACTTGCACACACACACACACACACACACACATATATATATATATATATATATATATATATTATATACTAAAACACGTCGATGATTGGCGCAACAACATGAAACACGTCGATGATTGAGGAAAGTATGAAAATAAGACGGTGATTGGCGTAAGTTTGAGAACACGTTAATGATTGGTTAATAAAATCTCGTCGATGAATAAATAGTGCAACAGTTTATAGATACGTCAATGATTAGTGAAGTATTGTGAAAACTCGTCCATGATTGGTGGAACAGTGTAAAAACTCGTCCATGATTGGTGGAACAGTGTAAAAACTCGTCCATGATTGGTGCAACAGTTCGAATAACCACGTAGCTAAATATTTACAATTGCCCCATATATACATCCGTACAGTATTTGCATTTCATGGCTGGATTATTCATGACCATTGGATGTAAGCTGCAATAACGACATGGTACAGTGAATAACCTCGAATACTGAACACCAATATAATATTACTTAATATTTTACAATATGTTTTTCCTGGAAATATTAGGTAACACTTTTATGTGATGTGTATCTAGCGAAAATAACAAAATATTGTAAGGAGTATTAAACAACAACATTTCAAAATGATGTTTTAAAATATCTAGACAAGGTAAAATGGTTTAACACAACCTGTAATTAGTGAAAATGAATAAAATAATGTATAAATGTATAACGTGAATATATGTATGACAGTTTGACACAACTCATATTCTATAGAAATAGCAAAATAACGTAATGACTTCAATGTTTAATTAAAAAAAAAAAAAAAAAAAATCATACATATTACAAAACACTTTTACATTCAAGATATTTATTTAAATGTATTCCTGACGCCTAATGTAAGTAATACACACAACGAAGCTGTTAAGGTTACAATACCGGAACGTCATAGTACTGGTGGTTCAGGTTAGGTTAGGTTACTGTGGATTTTTGAAGGTTAAGTTAGATTAATGTAGGGTAGGTTAGATTAATGTAAGGTTAGGTTAAGTAAGTTAAGTAAAATTAAAGGTTAAAGGTTCGAAATACCAGTAGCTAACAAGGGAGTTTAACCTCGTTAGTGTTCTGAGATGATGACCCAAACCTTCAGCCAATTACAAAAAAGAAACGTGATTTAAACTCGTCCGAGAGATTTGATTGGATGAAGCTAACGAAGGAAATTCAAGAGGCTACATCCAATGCCTCGTGTGGTATGGACGGATAGAGACACGGACGGATGGACAGACAGACAGACAGACAGACAGAAAGCATACTAAGTAAAATAAATAAATAAATAACAATTAAGTAGCTGCCGCCTCCCAATTCCACTGTCAAAGGGAAACGAAATAAAAAAATCCAATTATCTTTCTAGAGTTTTTAAGTCAAGACGGACAAACAACTGAAGCGAATGAAGACGTCGGGGCAAGTTAGCTGAGGGAGGAAGAGGGTGAGGGGAGAGGGAGGTGAGGGAGAGGGTAATGGGGGAGAGATGGGGGAGTAGGGGAGGAAGAGAGGAGTAAGGGGAGGGAGATTGTGAGGGAAGATGGGAAGGAGAGGAAGAGGGGAGAAGGTGAGAGAGAAAGGGTGAGGGGAGGGAAGGGGGTGAGGGGGGTGGGGAGGTGAGGGGAAATGGACAATGTGAGGAGGGGAGAGGAGAAGATGAGGAAGGGGGAGATGGGGAAGATGAGAGGGTGAGGGGAGGGGAGAAGGTGTGAGGAAGGGGCAGGGGAAGGGGTGAGGGAGAGGAGATGAGGAGAAAGTGGGAGGAGGAGGGAGATGATAAGTGGAGGAGATGGGGGAGATAGTGAGGAAGGATATGAGGAAAGGGGTGAGGGAGGGAAGATCAGCAGAGGTTGAGAGGAGATGAAGAGGGAGAGGGAAAGAACAGGGGGAGAGAGGGAGGGGGGAGGGAGGGTGAGAGAATCAGGGGGAGGGGGAGGTGGGGAAACAGGGAAGCCAATTAAATACTCTGAGAAAACATCGCCTCAAATAGTGCCTGGATTTTATCTCTGATGAAGGAGAGGGAGATGGGGAAGGAGGGGGGGTGGGGAAGAGGAGGAAATGAAAGGGGAGGGGATTAGGAAGGGACATTAGAGAGGGAAGCGGGGGGGGTAGAATTTGAAGTTAGGTTAGATTAGGAAAGACATGTGAACCCCTAACATTTTGCACATTACTTTCGGTTCATCTTTCACAGCAGTGGTTTTTATTGTCTGAAGTCCAGTGTTTTTATCTAAGACCAAAGGCTGGTGAACAAAATCCCATTATTATTATTACAGACAAACACATTAATCCCTTGAACAAAAACCCATTAATCTTCTTGACAAAATCCATTAATCTCACGCAATAT